TTTCCTGTCACACTTTGCTTTTTCCTCCCACCTTTGGCTCCCTTTCCTAAAGGTGCTTCCCAGAGTTCCCATATTCCACACCCATTAAATGTCCCAGTTCAAATCTTGCCTTTCACAGAAAACCTCCTGACCACACAAACAAGGATGCCCTCTCCAGCCCTGAAACCTGCACAGCACCAAGTGCCCGAACCTAGAGACAGACCCTTCTACAATTTCTTCTGATGCCTCTTGCACTACTTAACTCAGGCACATGACTTAACTGTTTAGCATGTTCCTGAGGCATTAGTGACACCAGAAATCTAGTTGCATTCTTCTTTCTCCATAGCATGCAATATGGTGTGATTTGAACCAAGCAACGAGCAATTGCATCAGAGATGTAATTAGGAAAGCCCATCTTTGCAGAGGAAGTGGTTGTTTCTAGAGGAGATTTTGTTTTACTCCAACTACATCCTAAGGTGAGGCCAGGTGAATTTAGGCCCACTAAGCAGTTGTTCTCACTGGAGTATCACTGCTCTTACAACTCTGTACTTCCAAGGTCTGAATTTCTATTTTAAGGCAGAAACCAGGACTTTTAAAGATCCAAGAAGATATAATCTATTATTAGCCTAAAGAGGATGGGATTGGTCAGAAAAGCAAGGGAGGTTGCGATCCAATTCCTACAAGGATCTGGAAAGAGTCTCATGGAGACTATGGCCTAAAACTTCATTTAAAGCTATAGAAAGGAAAGATGGAAACTCATCTAGCTCACTGGTGAGAACACTGATACCGAAAGCCAGCTTCTGCGTGGCCAGCTGGGTTCACTTCTACCACGCCATGCTGCCCCTCCCTGCCAAAAACATGCCATTAGAAATGACAATCCTTCAATCAGGTCAGAATTCTGAAAGAAAAATCATCTCAAGAATGACCACACACAACGCAAATCAGTAGAGCACTGGGCAAAATTATGACATTAAAATAATTGCCTTGACAGATGATAAAATCAGAGAGGTCAAATGGTAGATGAACTTAAAACATAGCTGAGATACAAAACCTGAATCTAAGTTCTATTTCTCAAAATAACTTCTAGAATGATGCTGGGCAAACATTTCCCTCAGTGGACCTCAGTTTCCCAGCAGTAAAAACAGATACTCCAGGGTTTTTCAGTGGGAGAGCTCCTGGTGTTTGACAGGTCCATTCTCCCTTGGAATAGTCCTCTATGTTATAGGACACTTAGATGGCTTCAGGCCAGCAGTGATCCCTAGCCATTTTGACAACCCAAAACACCCCCACATATCTGAACTCCCTCCCTGAGAACCACCAGGGGGATCTCCAAGGCCCTTGCTGGCTCTAAGAGGCCAGCAGGAAGACACTTCCATGAGTGGAGGGTTGGGAGGACAGGTGGCTGGCCTACCCGTAGATGTCCAGGACCCCGATGAAGGAGTGCTGCTTGAGGGAAGTGTGCAGGGCCTTGTTGATGTGCTCCACGATCCAGCCAAACAGCTGGGCGTAGATGTGCTTGGCCAGAGCATTTCGTGCGTTGACCACCTGCTGCAGGGACATGGTCTTGACGTAGGTCTCTGAGGTGGTGACCAGCTTGCGATGGCACAGCCAGTGCTCCATCTGACTGTGCTCCACCCCTAACAGTCGGCAAAAGTTCTTTAGGTGTTCATCCTGGGGCTGGGGGAGAGTGGGACACAGTTTCAGAAGGCACATGAAAGACGACCTCTCTCTCCTGCCACCCCTCCATGCTCCTGTGCAGAGGGAAAACCAGCGAAATCCAAGGCCTCCCCAGCTCTCCAGAACCCACCCCGCCCCCAGCCACTGGCCTGGAGGTCTCACACACACTGCTAGCTGGACTTTTATCGTTTAAAGATCCAAGAAGACATAATCTGTTATTAGCCTAAAGAGGTGCCCATACTAGAGTGCAGCTCAAACTGATGATTACACCTGCTATCAGGGCCTTACTAAACAAAAGGCTCTTGCTCCACTCTTCCTGTCCCCTCCCCCTCTGTGCCAGGCTGCTGCCAAGGGACTGGTAGAAGGCAAGTCCTGGAGTGAAGGGAGCAGAATGAGAACTGATAGCTTAGGACAGGACAATCCTCTCAGTATAACATGTTAGCAGATTGTGCAGGCTTCTTGTGCGGTGCTCACCCTCAGCCCAGGAGCAGTTCTCGTCCTCCGTTCTAGAAGTTTTCACTTACATACTTTACCTCTGACCAGCTCCCAGCTTAACCAGCTGTGTGCTTGAATATGAACTCAGGGATCCAAGGGCTGAAACACCACCCTCCCTTAGAGTCAGTTCCCCCTTTGGGAAAGTAAGTCAGGTGGGCCAGATCAGTAATTTCCTTATGAGTAGGTGGCTGGGATACTCAAAAATCACTTAGAGCAGTTTTTCAAATTGCACACAACACACATAGGTGTAGTTTAGATGTGCTAGGAGACTGAAATGCAACAGACACGTCCCCCCCACACTGACACTGCACCCCCTGTGCTTCTGAGCAAGCTCTTTCATCTGAGCCTCAGTGACACTAAGTCACACAGAACTGCACTTTAACCTTCAGAAAGCACTTACTGGCTGGGGAAAAAAGTTAATCAATGTGGAAAGCTGGAACATATGGCAAAAACACGGAACCAATTTTGCCCTGAGAAGATCATTTAGAGCAGTTTCACTGGTAACATCAGACATGTTTAAAGCTGGGAAGAAACTCAGAATTGCTGTTTAAACTTCTTTTTCATGCAGAAAGAGGTTGAGCCCCAGAGAGGTGCAATAACTTATCCAGGTCCCTCAGGCTCTGGGATCCTGCCTACCTAGCTGCCTCTCAGGGCCACCTCTGAGCCTAGACCCTCTTTACCCCAAACATCAATCATAGTGCCTGGGTTTGGAGCCACTGGGTAGTCAAATTTCCCTCACAGTGTCTTGCCTGTGTAAATCTCTTGGATAATACTTGTTGTCCACAGAAGACCTGCTCACCCTTGGAGGTTCCTCTTACCTGTTATACATTCTGTCATCCAAAGTCTCCTAGGAAAGCCAATAGCCAGCCAAGCCTGCTGGAGAGCTTATGAATTCAGAGGCTTAAAAGGGGATCCTGTAGGACATAATGTACCACCTGCTAATGGCCCTAAATTGCTGTGGGACTCATTTCCTGATGAGCCTGTCTTATGGGATTTAAATGAAGG